ACGGGTAGAGCCTACTGTTTTGTAACGTTACAGACAGTGCTTCGGTGTAGTGCAGAGTCTCATCCAGCGTATACTTTCTATGAGTGGACCCTCGGGGCGGGTTCGACACCACCCTGCGGGCATGGAGGTGGCAAGAAAGACCAATACCCCTTAGTTGAATTTCCATCTGCTTTTACAACGGGCGAGAAAAGTGCCGAAGGACTTATCAAAAACTTTACACGGTGTACAAAACATAGTGGGAGCAATGCTATGACTTACGGAGAATGTTCCGTAGGAAATTACGAGGACCCCAAAATAAGGTACCCCGAATTTTCGGAAACTCCCTTTTAAGGCTGCTTGCAAACTCTGGGGACGGACCAACAACATGACGCACTACAGGGGTCTAAATATTTACCAGTACTATTTGGTGATTCCCTATTATAACTATATGATAATGGGCCCCAAAACCCTATTCCAATTATTAAAACCCCTATATTAGTGTCTTTGATTTTAGGTTCCTGACCACACATTTGGTTAAGGTCTAAACACGGGTCTATATCACGGTTGAGGTCAGTGTATACGGGGCTCTGCCGGAACAACGGATGTCCGTATGCTGCGGAGTGTTTCTAGATTGATGGTAGCAATCGCGACAAGAACCTAGAAGATAATGACTGCTGGTAAGCAGAATAGGGGTTTCGGGTTGAGGGTTCCTGGAACATGCTGTGATGTGCTGTGTGCATCGTGCAGTGTAACTGGGTTCTCCTTGGCAATTTGGTTTTGTTGCCGTTGCAGTAGAAACAAAAGGCCGTTATCGAACATATTGCTGCAGTATTGCTTCCTAAGCCGAATCCCTAAACTCGGTTGGAGTTTGAAAGGGATTCAGAGCCGTAATCAATCTCTGAGGGCTTTGCCATTGAAGCCACGCCGAAGGCTGCAAAAGGCCAAGCATGGGACGCCTGCGGAAACAACGCGCGTCTCGATCCATTTGAAAAGAAGCCATGGGTGTTCTTCCGACACGGGTCGCCGGTCACTGACGAAATCACATCAAACCGTCGTACAGCCCGATTATACGACCCGTCTAAAACCAAAGAAAAGCTTATAAACACCTATGCAGCTCGTTGACAACGGTACTTTGTCATAGTTGGGTAATATTTTTGTACTGGGTACTTAAACCAAATATGGAATAAAAACCGTACATTTTAAATCCTGTCCCAACTATGAACGCTAGGGTATCTCGAAGCCTGACGAGCAAGCCCTATCAGAGTTTTGTCTGAAGAGCAGGACTCTTCTGGGCTAACGTGACGTCAAGGCCTACCTTAACCTACCGAAGCCTATACTCTCCTGTAGGGTCCCCGGTTTCGGCGCTCACACTCGGACAAGGGTCTAGGGTTTTAGGGTTTACAGGGTTTAGGGTTTAGGGCAATTGTGGGCGAGTCTGTTCTCCTTGTATTCAGCAAGTGTAAAGACGACTCGCTCGGACCGGGCTGCTGGACAACGAGGCCTGCTGCAAAAAAGGGTGAGAGTCCAGTTGCACAAAAAGGTTTAGGGTACACATTCCCTTTCGGGGTTGACGGGAATGATAATCAGTTTTTGAAAGCCTACAGGCAAGTAGGTTTCGATGGTTGAAGGTAGACCCTACAGCGAAAAGACCTGGAAGAAGCCCAGCTGCAACTATTTTTCAGCGATGGACCGACGTCTTTCCGCTGATTCGTCTTGCCCAGAGACTGTCATATGCCGTAGAATGCTAAAATCTGTGCATATATTGTAATTAGACATATATGTGTTCAAATTTTCATATACGCACATGTTAACTGTCTGTATTATATGTATATCGTACAAACATAATTACCTATACGTGTAAAAGGACATAATCCCTTACAGGTATAGACATGGATGAGTGAAGATGCCCATGATTTATCCAGTGTGTATATGTACTAATCCTGGGGTCTCTGGGTGCAAAGGGGCAACGGGTCCCAGGCGGATGGTTGCATCGAAGTCTGAAGCTGTGGTTCTCTACGCCTCCAACTAAGTTATGAAACTTGCTGCATGTATGTGTATATGTATAATCTATATATATATATATATATACACATATGTAAATCATATGCATGTCTGTTTATTTTTGTTCATATGCGCAGTAGCAGAAGCAGTAAGCAAGCAACAAGTGTTTAGATGAGTTGGTAAACAGATATGTACAAACATGTGTATATGCACGCATATGTTCGATCATATTCAGCTGTTTGTGCTGGTCTGCTTGAACGAAGGTGAATGAATGAACGGATGAATAAACTAGGTCAAGCGCTGGTTCAAGGTGTGAGGGGTATGTAGAACCGCCCAGAAACGGAGGTCACAGGCATACGAGTTTCAGTTTATGTGGACTCTTTGTCGGTACCGTCGGTACCATCTCCGTAAATGGACCCGGCATTGTCGCTAAACTCTCAGACACCAGCTTCATTCTGTGAGCTCTTCTGGTTAGCTTTGTTTTTCCTGATTTTGTAAGGTCGGATCATGCAGACCCGTCCAACGCCTGCGGCATTGGAGCCCGTTAGCTTCAAAGCTTTTATGCGCACTCTCGGAGGTTTAGGAGGCATGCGCTGACCGAAGTGCAGTGAACCGAAAATCCAAACCTACACAAGCTGTGGGGGAGGGCTTTGACTAGACCCACCGTTTGCAGTTAGTGCCGAAATACCCAACACCAATGTGTACACCACCCGCATGAGTTGGTCGGGGAGGGAAGTCTGCTAACGTCGGAACCTGAAAGGTCGTGACTTCAACAAGCATCACACGTAAGATCCGATGTTTTTTTTGAGCAGGCTCCTGCAGCAAACCTTGTAAACCTTATATAACAACTCGCAACACCAAACCTTAACCCATCAAACCCTAAAGCCCAAGCCACCGAGCTCTTCCAAAGCCCTCGAGCCGGATGGTAAGGATTCAGTGCTGCCCACCCAGACCTTCCAAAATCCCTTAATTAAGGAATATACCTTAATTCATATTAGGGATCCTATTATAATTTAAGGTCTATTCCTTAATTAAGGGATTTTGGAAGGTCTGGGCAGTCCGGTGAAGGTTTACGGAGCTTGGGGCCTCACGGGTTCAAAAAGTGTCGGCTTAGGGCTTACCCTACCTGAAGCCGGAATAACCTACATTTCTAGGGTTCCTTATTATGATTTCCTTATATAAATGCTTAAAAAGGTAGGTTATTCCGGCTCAAGGTAGTAGTTCCTTTTTGAGAATACCCTATAGGATTCTATATATGAACCCCAAAAAGGAACTACCTTGGGGGGCCTCTTGGGCTTAAGAATATGGGAGTTTCCGAAAACTAGGGGTACCTTATGTTGGGGTCTTTATAATAAGGATCCTAGTGTTTAGGGTACTACATTAGGGTCCCCTATTTTCGGAAACTCCCATTTCGGATTCAGGGACTTAGGCAAAGAAGTGTAATTAAGACCGCATTCCTCGCAGGAGGTGGTTCTGCTTGTCCTGCTGAGCCCGAAGTACACCAAGGGGAATCGGAGAAAGCCGAACTTCGAACTTTTTTGCCCTAAACCCTAAACCGAACTGGTACCCACAGAGTCGGCTTTAGGGTTTCGGGCTTAGGGTTTAGGGTTACTCAGACGCCCCGTACTAGTCCCGTTTTAGGGTTCATGTTTCGAATCCTGTAAGGTGTTCCCAAAAAGGAACCTACTATGGGGCCTATGGGTACTAACAGAGTCTATATACTTTCAGGTACTGGTATCTATAATTGGCCCCGGGCTGCAGGGACGGAGGACAGGAGCATGGTCCGACCTTCACTGTCTGGTGGTAGTAGGGATTGGGGGAATGGGTTGTTGGGACTACTATAAGGGACGCTTAAGGGACTATCATAGGGATCGTTATTGGGACTACTATAAGGGACCCTTAAGGGACCATCATCGGGATCCATCCCCCCCATTCCCCACTATAAAAACCAAACAGTTCACGCTGCCGCATGCCCAACAAGGGCAAGAAAGGGTGCTTTGCCCACCCCGGATCGGTCGCCTGGAGGAAAATCCGGCGCTGATGCAACCCCAAACTCTCATCTTGGACCCCCCTACCAATTTAAATTAAGTTCTGGGCCCTGGGTCTTTATTATACGTTTATTAACCCAGAGACTCTAAGAAGTAATCTTGGCAATCATTCAGGCCATTTCAGGTCCCTGAATCACCTAGCTGGCTAATGGAGAACTTTGATTTGCAATTTTAGGTTTGCGAAATTGTTTTTCTGTTGAGCCGGAGCTTGGACATATAGGAGCCGAAGCCAAAACTTCTCGGAATCTGGGAAGTCGTCAAAGATTCGTCTTGGGTTTCCTGCAGCAGTGAGTCGACGTATAAGGGCATTCTGCAACGGCAAAGCTTTGCGGCCCAGCAGATAATCCGTAAGTTTTGTTTTAATACGCATCCCTCGGGATAATTACAAGCGTGCGTACCTTAGCAATTCCTGCACCGAGCTCATTGATCCTTTGAGATATCTTGCTAGTCTCTTCCGGTTGCACGTCCGGTTGATACTCTAGCCCTGAATTCGAATGGAGGCGGTACAGGAGTTCAGCGTTCTGTTCAGGGGTCTAGGACTTTGGGTTTAGCGTGGGCCTGGGTTGAAGCTTCAGGGTGTAATGTTGGGAGTGTAGCAGAGTCAACCGGCAAGCCAGCTTGCAACTGCTGTGGCTCAAAGGCGTCGGCTGGGGCTGAGCAGTCGAAGCAAGATGGACGTTTTAGGCAACTTCACAGGTTTCGGTTCTTCTGCAGCGCTGCGGTCATCTGGGAGCAGAGGATCGGATAAGTCGGTTCAGGATTGCGGTTTGCGATTGCCGGATGGTCTATCTGATCTGGCTAGACGAGATGCACCTGTCACACGCCTCGCACACCCATACCAACTCCTCACTGGAGCTAAGATGCACCGCCCTAGGGCTTAACTAAGGTGTCCCGCACACCTCACTGGGTCTCAGGAAATCGGGGGAAATCTAGGGCTTCAAGCTCGATCCTTCGGAAGTTACCAGAGCTGCCATGCTCTACAAGCCCGCCGGGATGCCGCGATCGAGGCTGGCAAAGATGTCCTCAATCTATCCTGCGATTGTAATAGTGCAGGGCTTAAAAGACCTGTCTCAGCAACTGGTCAGTGCCTCCGCTTCCTTCTCCTACATGTCTCTCTCTCTCTCTCTCTCTCTCTCTCTCTCTCTCTCTCTCTCCTTTGTTTGTAGTCTCCCTCTCCTGCTCGCTCTCTCTCTCTCTCTCTCTCTCTCTCTCGCTGTCTCCCTCTCTCTCTCTCTCACTCTCTCTCTCTCTCTCTCTCTCTCTCTCCCTCCCTCCCCCTCCCCTTCCCTTTCTCCCTCTCCCTAAACTCATCTTTTTTCCTGCGGCATGCATGAGCATGTACTACTGTATATGGAGCGCCCGCATAAATTCACATAAGTGTTCATACCTTTGTTCGTTTATGTGTGTGTTCTGCAGCGTGCTAGTTACTGGGTTCCTGCATGTATACCACTATGTGGATGCATGTATGCTCTTGATTATGCGTGTATCTATCTTTCTTGCTACCTACTATTTTTGAAGCGAGCGTTTGTGTATTTGTTTATCCGCCTGCCTATGTACACCTATCGATCGATCGATGGATTTATCTATTTATCCGTCGATCTATCTATCTGACTATCTATCGAACTATCTATCGAATCGATCTTTCGTTCGATCTTTCTATGGATCTATCTATCTATCTGTGTGTATATACCCAGAGGCCCCGTAGTAGTTCCTTTTGGGGGTTCATATATAGAATCCTGCAAGGTACTCCCCCAAAGGAACTACTATGGGGCCTATGGGTAGGTAGGTGGGTGGGCAGGTGGGGATGGTAGGTCGCTCGCTCGCTCGGTCGGTAGATCGGTAGGTGAGTCGGTGGGTAGGAAGGCACTCCGAGATGTCGGTGAACATGCGCACATCGCGCTACATGTCCTGCAGGTTCTACATAGATGCATTCTTAGGTACATCTGCATGTACGCAGATCTGCAGAGCTAGGCAGGCAGATTCTACAGACAAAGGCCGACCTGCATCCGCACAGACGTGGAGACTGCACTGCGAGTAGGGCACACCTGGATAGACTGAGGCTGCAACATTAGCGCCAGAAGCAGACCTGCAAACCTTCAGTATAAGGCTAAGCAGTAAATACCCACGACATGCTACAGACCCTTACTGTAGAAGGCAAAGGCGGAACCTTAAACCCAACACCTGAACCGCAACACCCTAAACCCTAAACCACAGACCCTAAACCCCAAACCCCAACACCCTCAACCCTAATATGGGAACCTGATTAAGAAACCTTGTGTCTTTATTCGGGTTCTTTAGATGAATCCGAGTATTTTGGAATTCGAGGCCAGGATTTGGAAATCAGGTTCCTACCTTAAGTCCAAGGGTAAAAGGAGGGACCCTTAATAAGGACCCCTAGGTATATACCCTTAATATAGCTATAATAGTCCCTCCCCTTTCCCCTTTGATTCAGCCCTGATCTGAGAGTCTGGGAGGCTGCTTCTGGTGGTGGCAGCTGTTGCCGCCTGGGCCGGCCACGGCCACGGAATTGGGTTTTGGGGTTTAGAGCACCGGGGGGAGCAGTGGGGGGGCGGGCGGGGGGGGGGGGTTCAGGATATGGGTTTAGAGTCTTGGGCGGGAGTTCAACTTCAGTTCTGAACGGTTTGGCATGTGGTTTTTGAGGGTCCAGCATAGAATGCCGAGTGCAGTTCGGATGCAGTGTTCCGGCTAGAGCTAACGAAACCCGAAACCCCGGACCCTAAACCCTGCACCCTAAACCCTAAACCCTGCACCCTAAACCCTGCACCCTAAACCCTGAACCCTAAACCCTGAACCCTAAACCCTGAACCCTAGACCCTGAACCCGGAACCCTAAACCCTGAACCCTAAACCCATTTATCCCGTAAACCGTATACTCTGGCCTGAACACGGCATTGTGACAACACCCTGCCTTCTAGGACCTACCATGAAAACATGTTGTGGGAGGATCCCAAGACAAAGCCCTGTACGTACCCAGAAACCTCGCCTGCTTGCCGAATGCGAGTGACAAAAATGTATACGTACAGTTTGTCCGAAAACAGACCCTCGCATAGAACGTGTAGGAACGCAAGAACTAAACCACATATGAGTGTTGGACCGTGAATCTTCAGGGTAGAACTCCCTCATAGTCCGTACAAGCATATGTTTTGGTTCAATAAAAACCCCGATATCCTGATCATTAAGCCCCGCTATGGCTCATGTTACACAGACATGCAACCCAGCTAGAATGTAATTAAGACTCTCGACCCTGCCTAACGGAACCCTGCCAGAACCCATGTTCAAGGTATTTACATGTAACCCTAAACCCTAAACCGTTCAAGGTATTTACATTTGCTTTCATAAGCTCAATCCCGGGTATATCTGAGAGTACCCGACTCGGAGCCATGGAGGTATGGTAGATTAATCAGGGTCTGTATAGCTCGCCCGGCTCTGTGCCTAAGGATGTCCTGAAACCCGCTGTATCCCTCCTGCAATTCCGCCTCGGATATCGCGAAAGCTCGAACGTATTACGCTTGAAGTCTTGCACTGGCTCGCCCAAAAATGCTTAACGAGCGAAATAGCACACTTTTGAAGGCAATGCTGTAGTGGTTGTAGCCGATAGGGCCTAGGGCATATAGGGTTTAGGGTTTACAAGGCTTATAGACATCGCCAACACGGACAACTGCGAGGCACTTCAGAGAGACCTTGTTCAAAAGAAGCTTTATGGGTGAACGTTCCATTACGTCTACGAGACCCGGGACATGAGTAAGAAACTTACAAGCAAGTCTCCTGATGCTTCATGTGCTGTGACAGCCGACACCCCCAAAACTTATATAGAAGCTCCCGAAGCCGTAACAGGTAATTAAATCCCATATTCCTAGACGTCCGAAAGAGTGTTAGAGCACCACAGGCCACGAAGGATAAACGGATGGAGACAAATATGGGGACCTTACATGAAAATCGTTTCGGGTTCCACGCAGATGAACGCAAAAACCCATAATGTTTAGAGTCTTCAGATGCTGTAGACCCTGCTATGAAGACAGCTTAACAAGGAACCTCGAACAAGGAAGCCGAAACTTCGTCTTCCCCGCGGCCACACCGCGGGCCCCTGGCGTAGCGCGGCGCGTGGACGGCGCCGTGGTCGAAGCCGAGCCGGAGGAGGACGAGGCAGCGGACGTTCTCTTCAAGTTATGGTAGAAGCCAGAAAGTTGGAGCATGAGTAATTATCCTCATGCCCTTCAGGTAGAGCAGAGGGAATTCTAGCACTAATCCTGGTAAATCCATGTTCCGAACTTTCTGGGAGTCGTTATAGGGGTTTAGGGTTGACGGCTTGTTTTCTTGTCCAATTGCTTGTTGTCAGAAAGGCAATCACCACACCCTGAACACTTAGATCCTAAAAGTCCTGCCCTGGTAAGTATAGTGTTTTGTGGTATGAAGGTGCTCTGGGCCATTGTTTAGCATGCGATTCTTGAGCAATTATGTGCGAAATGCTATACAAATGTTGACAGTGTACAAGTAGTAAACCCATATGACTTTAAGCCCGGACCCGAAGCCCGACACTTCCAACCGATGCAGAGCCGGCCGACGTTGTAGTGTCGTATCGAAGATACTGCGGGATTTGCTTCTCTCTGTCGGCGAGGATGGGCTGCTAATGGCACATGACATAGAAGCATTACAGCATCTTCTGGAGATCTTCCAACAACGACCCAGTTGAAATCCGAATAGCACCCTCATGAAACCCTAGCCTTAATCCTCTAAAGCCTAAGTCCCGAAGTCCTAAGCCCTGAAAACGGGAGCCTTCAACTTAATCGGCACGGTTTATAACTATGTTGTCCTTTGGGATCTTTTTTTTAACTTCCCCTACTATTTTGTGGAGACCCATAATAGTAAACAGTTTTCAAAGGGCGCTTAAAGGACAAGTCAGATAAGGTTTCAAGGCCCATAGAGCCATAGAGCTTCCTTCAGGTGCAAGTGTGGCAGGAAGCGCATCTCGGAAAGATGGTAACCTTACAGTGACCCAGACACTTTGTTATATGAGTGTTTAAATGGCAGATTTTGCGAGGGTCCAGGTATAGCCACAGGGCCCACAAAGCCCGATACTCTTTAGTCAAAAGCGTAAACCTTAAATCATGGACGGGTTACCATTGGTCATTTTTGGTAAATCCTGGATTCTGGTATTGGGCCGAACAGCCCCGGTCCCTCCGTACCAGGCCACCTACATGATCAACTCTGCTCATGAGTTTTCGGATTTTAGGTCTTATTGGGCTTCATACAGTGCGTTCTGTAAGGGTCCTACGAAAGCTGATCCGGCTTCAGGGTTTATAGCTCTTTTTGGGGGTGTCGGGGATTATGGGACAGGGGCTCAGGGCAAAGGGTCTTGACATCAGGCTTGATTGGACTTAAGGATTGCGGCGTTGTGGTGCTTGAGGAACTAAGGGTTCAGGGTTTGAATGTTCGTAGGATCGTGGGACTTGGGGTCATAGTTACTTGTTATTTATGTGGATTAGGCAGCGTGAATTTGACAAGTCAGCGATTGCAGACCCAAGCGTCCGAGTAGCGAAATAGGCAAGCATCAAGTCTGGGCATACGTGCACACATGCTCTTATATTTTTTTGTCATAATATATAACAATACAATTCTGTATATACACACAAAATGCTGCTTACATTTTCTTATACATACATACATCACACATACATACATACATACATACATACATACATACATACATACATACACACACACACGCATACATACATTATATGTATATAAGTACAAACCTACGTACATACATACATACATACATACATACATACATACATACATACATACACACACACATATATATATATATATATATATATATATATATATATATATCCACAAGCAGTTTTTCTGTTATGTTTGCACACAAACATACATATCTACATGCAAACCTATATATGTGTCTACATACATGCATGCATGCATACGTGCATGCATACATACATACATGCATGTGTGCATACATGCATAATTATATCACATTACATGATATTGGTACATACGTACGTGGTACATACATAAATGCCCACATGTGTATATATATATATATGTATATGTATATCTGCTTGTCTACGAATCATGCCAGTCCGACAAAACATAAAGGACACGCATACCTGCAAAAGCCTCCGCAAACACTGCAAGCCTAAACCCTGAACTGAGGTATGCCCTGGAGCTGGAAAGGGCGGAGTTGCTCGACGCACAGCTCCAACAAGGCCTCGACAGGCCTCCCGGGTGAAGCACACTAGACTCGCTAGACCCTTGGGGTTTGCATGGGGTTTAGTGATCTGGAGCTACCATGATTTCTTTGCTGGCAGGGGTCTGTTATATCCAAGACAACCTTACCGAGACCTTTCATTGGCGTGCTTTGTGTAGGTTGGTTTTCGTTTCTTGTGAAAAGGTTGCCGCAGAAGATGCTACAACCCAGGGTTACACCTGAAATCCCAACTTGAAGGTCAAGGGCCCAAAGTACCTGATCATTAGTTAAGTGGGTTGAGGGTCATCGTGGCAGTGATGCAGGTTCTTAGTTGGGAGCATTTGCGATTATGAGGTCCTTGGATCCGGCGGGAGAGATCCTCCAGTTAAAGGGCACAACCTTGAGCTTATGTCCCTGCAGGTTCCACCTATCCGTAATGATGACAACAAAGCATTGTAATAGTATCAGTAGTAGCACCAGCAAGAGAAAGCAGCAACAACAACTGCACAATTACCATGAGTAGTCACAAAAATGCTAGTAACGGTAACCCCATTCTGATGCAGGCACTTTCTTTCTTTCAATGTTTGCAAGAAGTGAAGGAAACGGTGCATGGGCCGCAGAAGGGCTTGTTCAATTTTTGGGACTTTGTTTGCATGCCCCTGCCATCTGAGGTAGGCTTTGGATGGTGTGGGGGGTTTGACCTGAAACCGATAAATCCCAGCAAAACCTAAACCCTAAGCCCTAAACCTCTGAAACCTCTTTGCCCCCAGCCGCCCCGCCTCAATTGCAGGCTGCAAGAGCTGAGCGCCACCCTGAAAGAGGAGAACTTATATAAAGATCCAGCTTTCGGTCAGAATGTATAGGGTGCCCGAGGCCGAGTCTAGTGTGAGAACTGAGGGTTTGGCCTTTTTCAAACCTTTTTAGCGCTTGAGTTGTTTTTATACCGTCAATTCTCTCGATTGTCGGTGCTTCTTGGGTTTCGATGGTGTTGTTCGGGAATGCTGTGCAATCGACTTGGGTTTTGGAAACCTCAAGCCGTGGAAGCAACGAAGTTGGGATGCTCAAGTTGAAGCGAACAGGAGTTTAGGAGTTAGGGGTCTTGACGCTTTGATCAAGCCCTAAATCCGTTCTGCTGCTCGGATCCCCCAAGTTTTCGACCCTGCCGGCCATTTACAAATCTTAAATTTGTTGAATTTGTTGCTCAAGATGAGGCGTGAACATCGGCATGTTTGGCATGGATCGCTGAAGCCCTAAACCCTGGCCACGGAACGGCAAGCCGCTAAGCCTCTAAGCGCGCAAAGTTCCCAAGGCCCTATACCACGTTTTTCCCTCAAAGGCTCCGAAAGAAGGAACCTCTTGGCTCTTGGATTTCTGTAATATAGAGGCCTTAGTAATTAGAATAGGCTTTGGGGGCCCATTTATACTATAGCTAGAACAAGAACCCCCCCTCCCACAAAAAAAAACTATGTAAGCATTGATTAAGGCCCTCCAGTAGGCCTCTAGTAGCTTCCCGGCCTTGGGAAATCCTGAATCCTCCGAGGCCCTTCCCGCCCTACGGTTGATGATATAAATCCTGCATTACCCACAATAGGGAATATATGGGAATTATGGTATATTCCTTATTATGGGTAATGCAGGATTTATATCATCGACCGTATCTCAAAGTCGGCAAAAGCCCTCGAAGGAGTTTGAAGGCTGCCTAATCGACCTTGAGGAGGTTCGCAGTGCCTCCTATAACATTGTATTATCTGTATTATCTTAAACCATATGTCATTTTAAGCGCACACACACACACACGTCTACATACATATATATATATATATATATATATATATATATTTATTTATTTATTTATGCATATTCTTTGAAGGCTTGTGTAGGGCCGAATTATGTGGGTCTTAATGCTTATAGCAGAGCTTTCGGTTCTGAGGGGGAGGGGGTATCTTCAATTGACCAGATCGCTGAATTCAACGGCCCTAAAGCTGTTCGACGTGTTTGCGAGGTTGTCACCTGCTGGTTGGGTGTATAGGTGAGACACCTACCTGCGGCGATAAACTTCCCTGACAATCTGTACTTTGCTCCTCACTGGCAACTTTGTCGGGTTCCTCTGCATCCACTCAAAGACGCAATCGCACACCACAGTCTTCAAAAAGCACGACAGGGGCTTGTTTGCGTGCAAACCTCATAGATTAGTGAAATGGCACGCATAGCGTGGCGATTGTTCCCATGTGAAGATGCTAAAGCTGACACCAGGACTGATCAGGGAAAATGGTGTTGTCATACTTTTGGAGTGGTTGCTAATCGAGGGAAGAGATTTGCATTAGTTCCTGGATGTGTGTTTCGATAGTTACCTCCTATATATAGACATAGATTGGTCACTCCTGACAAGGAACCCTTACAGAAGCCTTTAGAGGAATCGTTAAAGAATCATCGAATCCCAGAAGTGCATCAGGCACCAGAGAAGCCTGATGCCACAGAGGCCGCCAAGTGGTCGGAGGCTGGTTGGGGTTCTCTTGGTCTCTGGGTAGGGAGCCCACACAAAAAAGAACCATAAGTTTAGGAATGTATTGTTAAGTGTCTAGCAGCATTCACGGACGCTTCCGGGCGAAGCGATAGTAAAGGGAGCCTTAGTGTCTTAGAGCACATTGCGGCATGTAGTTCTTTCGGACCACACGTGCAGGGAACCTTTGAGCCCCTCGTCGACAAGTTTCCCGTGCAAGCGAGAGCATTGCTACTGCGCCACAGTTGACGCTACAAACAAGCAATGGAGAGACCTATACGGCATTGCAAACAAGAATTAACAGAGGCCTTCCTTTAGTGTAAAAGCCTTTTCGGATATGTTTTGTACGAGACCGTTCCGTAATGCTTTGCAGCGCCAGCTGCCTCAACCCTACACCATAAAACGGCCCCAAACCCGAAACCCGAAGCGCTCAATGCTGCACATTGCTGCATGGCTGTTGCAGGACAGGCATTTGAACATGTGCATCTTGGTACAGAATTCTTATCGGTATTCCCAGTATTGCTCCTGCAGCCGCTTGGTTGCGCGGATCGTGGCTCGGGGTCTAAGTACAAGAGTCTAGGATCCAGGCTCCAAGCTGGATTTATCAAGTTCCTGTTCAGCCTGAAAATTGGAAGGCTCAAACCCCCAGATTTTCCGACTTGGGGCAACCAAAGACCCGACGTTATTGTTTCAGCTATGGGATCATAAGCCCCTAACCCGTAATCCGGACCGAAAAGCCTTTTTTTGTGCGCCGCGGAGGCCTACTTGGGAATTCGCAAGTGCAACGAGCAGCTCGCACTCCGGCTGGATTCATGTGGAAATTTTCAGGGATACCATGGCCTGGTTTAAAACGGGCACAACGGTTCTACAAGGGCTCAAAGACATGTATACGGGCTGCCACAGGGACTTGATAACTGGGATTCTGAATTAGCCTACGGATCTAAGGACTTGTGACTTGTTGGTTACGGCCTTGTCTTGGCAAAGTCCTACTGTGCCAGTTCTGGTCTTGCCATTGCCACACCGAGACGTCAGGGTGTTGGTGCGCATGTCGCAGCTAGTGCAGCTACCACTGGCACGACGATCAACTCGTCGAGCACTCTCACTGCATCGTTGACTTCACGGTGTTGAAATGAAAAGGTCATGGAACTTAGTCAGCTGTTGCGGATATAAACGCCTTTCGTGGCGTTGCACGTGATTCTACTCTGAATGTAGCTACCCTACTTACAAGACATATGCCGGGTCCTTGCCTGCCAAGAGAGCCAAGGACCCCAAACTCAAAGCCTGAACCCTATAAGCCTCCTAAACCTTAAAGCCTTAAAAAGTTTCACCCTGCAATGCGGGCTTCGTCCTTGCTAGGTAGGAGGGAAAAAACCCCTGTAAGTTTGCTCCTCGCCGACTAGTGCTAGTTTCACTCAACTGACCTCGAACCACGTGCCTCGCCTGGATTGCCCGAGTGTGAGCGGCGAAACCCCTGTAAGCCCTGCGACGATGCAAAAGGGTATGTATGAATTGGTGTGGGGACGGGGCCACGACCTAGATTCTGCGGGTTAGAGTGTTTATGGGGTTGAGGAACTCAATAATTACCCATGCTGTTCTGGGGCTTCTTGATTATAACAAGAGCATAATCGGCCCTAAAACCCCATCCTAGTTAGTAAGGCCCTTATAGTAGGGCTTTTAGGGTTCAGGTTGATCTGCCACACCTCCCATTGTTGCCGAGGAGCTGAAAGTCAATGAGCTGAAAGCCAAAATCTCAGAGAAGGACTGGGTGAGTAATCGATCGATTTTTTCAGGAGTCTCAATATTTCGAAAAGGGCTGTGGTGGCTATTATGGTCCGTACAGTATCTTGTAAGATGTCAACCTGGCTGTTGATTCTGTTTCAGGACTCCAGGTTTAGGGCGCTCGGGTGTGTAATGGAAGTTGGAATCTAGTGTTTCCTGTTTCGGACATGTTCCAGCTGAAAGTGCGGCCAGTGTTGATGCTTCTTGGCCACCATGCCTTTAACTTCTTAGATACAGTAATAATAGAACTGAAACTTTACACTGTCTTGGGCTTATGCACTCAGATACTGAAGGAAGCTTCTGCCAGTCTCCGGTTATCGCCACAAGTTTTTGTGTATGTTCCGCGGCTGTTAGAACTTGGTCTTCTGTTCTCTGCATCCACGGCTTCGTGCAATTCTCTGATTCGAGCCCTTTCGAGTGAGCGTGCACCGATCTACATAAATCAGTACCGGCAGCTGGCATTGGTCAATCAGCCACCACACCATCAGGCAGTCAACTTGCAATTGGAATGTAACGTGTAGGACAATGTGTTTCCATGCCCCACAAGCGTAGCTCGAAGGTCTGTCCAGCGAGCACCAACTTGCACCCTTGCCCACGATCCCCAGTGTTGCAGGCTTCACAACACTATAGGATCCTGCACGAACTGGTAATCGACACAGTCGGTACATGTTTACCGGCATGCAAGTGCGAGGAGGATGAGAAGACTGGGGATTACTACGGGTGGACCGCACGTACTCCTGTCGCACTTAAGGATCCTTGTTTCAGATGTCGCGGTGGTTGCTTGAGTATTCAGAGCCCGTCTTACTGCAGCTGCCTCCATAAGGCTAAGCCTGACGAAGCTCTGAACCATCGGCTCGTCCAGTCCACAAGCATCGATTAAAAGCATTTGTCGGCAAACTATCTTGAGAAGCACTTCTTTCCGGGTTGCGTCGTAGGGTTTATCGGGTATTGAGGCGACACTAACAACGCTTGGTTCAACTCAAAAGTGCAAAGTCTGGCCCCGACTCCATCTGGTACATAGATGGGTAAAGGAAGCCCGAATGACTGGACTTGGGCGGTGTAGTAACCGCTGCTCGAAGCATGCAGAGTTTCCGAGCCAGGGATGCTACTCGGCATTGAGTCGTGTTTATGGTTCACCCGACCTAAGACCCAGAAACAGTCGCTTCCGGTCATGACTGCGGCCGAAACTAGTTGCATAGTTAGCAGCCTCACTGGCACCGTAGCATCGGCATGGCAAGATATGCAGGGAGTCAAGCACCCCTTAACTATAACCACCTTCAACCGTAAAGCCCTGGATGATGCAAAGCATATGCTTGAGTGAAGGCAGGCACTCTGGTTCAGCAACTTCAGCTCTGGCTAGGGTTCACAGATTATGGGGTTGGGGCTTAGATGTTAGGGATCAGTATAGGGCTGAGTGTGGTCGTGCCTGTTGTATCTATGGTGGTTCGGCTAGGGGTTAATCTAGACCCTAAACCCTAAACCCTAAACCCTGGAGTCTTGTTTCAAGATGTAGGTTTATAAGGATAGGATCCAAAGACCCTGAATCGAGTGGCTGTTATTCATGTGAAGAGATCCTCTGCGTCAGCATGTGAGCAGTAGTCGGGATGGGATGGCAGGGGCCTAATAATTCAATAGAGGGGCCTGAATACTCTCCAACACTCCTCCTTAGTCACCAAGGCTTCTACATTCCAGAGCCGGTATAGTAACAGCTTGAAGCAACCCTTGAATGACCCCTGTTTTAAATCCTTAAGCTCCTCTTCTTACAGGTTTGGCCAGCGGGTGTTGGTGAGGTTCGTGTAATTTGCCTGTGCATGCACCCATGTTGCCGATCCTAGGCACATGCAATATCTTAAACAGTCCGAAGCAGTGCGAACTTTAAATCCTAAAGCTACATGCAGAGCTGAGGTATGGATCTTGGGCCAATCGCGTTCAAAGGTGCGGTGGTGATTCGTGCTCAGGGTTGATAAACTTTCCAGTCTTATCTTGACTCAAGCAGTCTACAGTCAGAGGAAGATACTCTTTTGCGATCGTCTTAGTGTACGACTTTCCTGCGCCTCCCCCTTCTTGAGGAGGGTGGCTAACGCTTTGCAATTTGGGTGCTGGCTCGACTACTGAGGTGCCTCTACAAAACTGGAAGAGTTCTGGAAAAGGAAGGCTATTCTAGTATAGTGTATTCTACATGTTGCCACTCCTATACTAGCCAAGAAATACCTCAGCCTGTGCCCTCAAAAATTCGCCGGAAACCCCAAACCTTACAAACGCCCGAAACCCCCCCACGGGTCGGTTTTGCCTGAGGACATCACTTGGTTGTGCCTAGGACCTGGGATCGACATCATTCTTGGTTCTGTGGAAGTGGATGTTTTGGGCTTAGGGTTTCTTGGACAGCCACCCCTGCGTGAGGAATCCGGTTCACAGACATACAGTTCGACCGGTACCATCGTGAGAAGGCAGAGCGTGTTGTCAGCCTTCTTTGGGATTTGACAATGGATGCAACAGAGCCCATTCTGGGAGCTCGTCTTAATTATCATCAATATAAGTACTTTGACGCTTGGTGCTACTCTCCCTAGGTATCCTGGTGCATTCTTAAACCCGACCTGTAGACCTCAACGCTCACAATAGTAGGTTGCCGGTTATGGCTCCTTGGCTCTACGGTACAACCAAGAAAACAGGAGGAAATGAAAGCTCAACCTAGACTCCATTGAAACCCTTAAAAGGACCCTCATGTGGCTTCCTAAGGCCTGAGCCTCTGGCGGCTGCACTTCACTACTACTTAGGAGCCTCCGATCGTAGAGTGGTTAGAGGCCCTACAACACCTGGATTAGGGTGTTGGGTTTGCGCTTTAGATTAGACCTTACAATATGGCAGGTTGCGAGTTATATACATCCCTCAATGGGTGTACTTAAAGGGGTCTAACGGCTCAGAGGACTCAGTGATTGGGCGTATTATAATTCATGCAGCAAGACCTATGATTACTGCACGCAGCCCTAATCCTCATCTGTACTTCTTGTAACTAGTCATGAGCAGTCACTGGTAGCACCGTTACAACGTGGTTGACGGCCCTCCTTGGAATTCCGACCACACAAAGCCTTAGCACTTCGAAACACCGCTGACCCCCCTTGAGGAATCTCTAAATTTCCTCTAAATCCCGTATCCTCAAGCTGAAGAGTTTTTGCGATAGCACCCTTAATGATCAATATTCTCCTTGTGGCGCTTGATCTTCGCTTAGGTAGCGATAAACTCCGGACTACTAATCTCGAAACTCGAAATCATGTTCAGAATCGTTTTGGAGCTCAAACCCCAATCTCAGAATGCTTTTGAGACCCTGCCCTGAGTTGCAGAATTCTTGTAAGATGCAAGCCCTCACTCAGAATCTCCAAGCCCTGAACCCCGAATTCTAAACTAAGAGACTGCGGAGCCCCAAACTGCACTGAATCCTACGCGCCTGAATATCGTCAGCCGCAAATTACCTCACTTCAGAGTTTTCGACACAAACACCTAAGCCCTCACCCTTCCAACAAATGCTCGAAATCCAAAATCCGAAGCCCTAAACCACTGGAAAATCAAGCTCGTCATCCTGAAACTTTTTGAGATCCCTCACGGTAGCCTTTATCTCGAGGAACTTTTTGAAGCCCGAAACCCAACTTAAGGCCCTCAACAACAAGCCGGACTCTTTGAGGGCTGTCTACAGAAGCAGTGGAGAAAGGCCTTCAACAAAAGAAGCAAAACCCTGAAGTTCAATCAACCTCCAAGCCCTGAAGCTTAAATCCTAAACCCTGAACCTTAGACCTTATAGACCTTATAATCCCCCTAAGCCCTAGACTTAGGCCCTAAACACTAAACACCCTAAACCCAAACATCCCTAAACCCCTTAAACCCTACACCCAAAAAGCCCAAAATACGTTAAGCCCTAAACCCCTAAAGTTGTCAGAGTGTGAGTGCCGCAACCCCGAAAACCTTGGCTCTGCTTGCGAGCCGCAGGGCTCGTCGTTCTATTTCGTCGAGCTGAAGATGCCCCTGGGCCCTGGGCATTTTTCAGGGATCTATAAGGGTACTCTAAGGGCTCTATAAGGGTACTAGAAGGGATCTATAAGGGTACTCTAAGGGGTTCTATAATGTAGGAGGCCAAAAGGTGTTTTAGCCTACGGGGGTTTAGTAGGGATTAGGGTTCCCATATTAGGGTTCATATTAAGGAATCCCTACCCCAAGAATCTTAAACCCCCTTTTGGCCTCCCATTAATTTTCCACGGCTCTGGGGGGTGTAATCTGGAGATGGCAGTGATTCGCAACAAGCGGTTCAGGGTTTAGGGTTTAGGACATGAAAAGCCCTGTTTAAGGAAGTATCCGCCCTACCCCCCTAAGGGTCCCTATGATGATACCAGAACTCTTAAGATTATCTAATGCGGGAATGGGGGAATGGATCCCTTTAGTAGTCCCTATATCATCCCCCACTAATAGTCTCCAGAATCCATTGCCCCATTTCCTACTAAGCACCAGACAGTATTGAGGTCGCAATGATTAGATAGGGCTTGGGGCCAGAAATACGCGTTAACCAATGTGCGCGGTCATCAAAAGTAGGGTCCGTTTTGGGTCCTGATTATAGTACGGCACCCAATATGTAGGGTACCCAAACAGGAGCCATAATTTTGACAAGCACCCATGTCTGGAATCCTAGTAGAGCTTGTCTTAGCCTTGCTCATGGAACGTTCTAAGCGCCGTAGAGTGAACATAAAGTACTTGCAGGACCCTCCCCTAAACCCTAAACCCTATGTTCATAATGCTCGTAATATACCGTGACGGTGTGGGAGTTTCCGAAAATAGGGGACCCTAATATAGTACCCTAAATAGTAGGATCCCTATTATAAGGACCCCAAAATAAGGTACCCCTAATTTTCGGAAACTCCCGTGTTACCAGAGCCCTTCAGATCTGAGGCCTCTGGGCCTGCAACTCGAAGAGGTGGAGATCGAAGGGATCGGCAGGGTGATCCAGGCTCCTGAGCTTCGGGTGATACGGTTTAGAGTTTATAGGGTTAAGGGCTTAGGTTTTAGGGTTTTGGGCTTTGGGTTACACGGTTCCTTTGAAGCGTTTTTTTTCGGTGATTTTGTCCCAGGAAATATATAGATTTCCGTCGGACCATGCGTAGGATTTTTTTTCGGATTTGTTCGGGCTTTTGAGGTTGTAAGGTTGATCAGGGCTTCAGGACTTAGGATCTTAGTTGTGTCGTTCGGGGTTTGCGCATCTGAAGGGGGGAGGGGTCTGAGAGGATTTGTGGCTTTACGGCCGGGTTTCAGGATTTCAGGATCTCAGATGAGAGCTGGGGTGTAAGATATAACCTTTGTTAGACCCTAAAAAAGGGTCGGAGCAATTACCAACAATACTATGTCAACTGCAGATTCTACCCCTCAAGCCCTCTCCTACCCATCTTCCAAAATAGCCCCCGGCAGGCCCTGAACCGTGAAGGTCCTCAGTCGTTTAGTAGCGTAAGGGAGTTCAATAGCCCTATAGGAGAGTTTGCGGTTATCTAGGGTCGAGACTTTAAACTTTACATCCTAATCCCTAAGCCGTAAAGTCAGAGACAGGGCTTCGCCCCTACACCCTAGACCCTAAACCCCAAAGGAGCGTCTAAAAACAAAACCCTAAACCCCATATAAGCTCCACGAGAAGCTGATCAAATCGGAAACTGACAAACGAAGGGCGGAGAAAATGCGCGATGAGGAGATGGGTTTTGCAGAAGCCGCCTTTGAAAATGCAAAGGACCACTACGACAGATTGGCCAGCGATGTGGTGGACCTTGTGGCAGAATCTACCCATTCGTGGGTACGCAGGACCCTCAAGACTTTCAACTTACCTAAGATCATCGCGGCTGACTCTACCGAGGGAAAAGTTCCGCAGCTCTTGCTCGAGTTCCATGGCCTCCACGACGACGAAATATTCGCCAAGATGGCGGTCAGCGGACTACTGTCCGAAGAAGAGCTGTGCTCCTACCAGCAGTGCCGCTCGATGGATATCACTCAGTATCGCGCGAAGCCCACGATGCGCGTGCGAGAGAAGGTTGACAAGCTCACACAAGAACTGTTTCTACCTATATGAAGGGGTGGAACCGAATTTGGCTCCATTCCCTACCCTTCCCCTATCCCTCCCCTATACCCCCCTCCCACCGCTTACCATTTCATGATGTGCATCCTGGCCTCAGAGCCGATCATGCAAGCGAACCAACCGGTGCAGTCGGTGAGTGCGGCCGTGGCGATGTTCATTGGAGGCCTTACAAGATGCATCGCGTGCTGCCTTGCCATCTCCGGGCACCCTAACGTAGTTTTCGCTGGGATGCCAGGACTAGATTCTTGCCAATTGCACAAGGTGCTGTTCCCTGCCAGTGATCACGATGAGCAGTCATCAGGCTTGTGGCAAGCACAAGGTGCTGTTCCCTGCCAGTGATCACGATGAGTAGTCATCAGGCTCGTGGGAAGCCCTAGATCTAGAGCAATCAGAAATGAGTCACTTTCGTGGCACGTGGCTGTTCATAGCCATGCTATCCTCACCATCTTGTTGACCCTTAGCATCTTCTCAAGCACGATCGTCGCAGGCAGCTGTTCTTCTTTGGAAAACGCGTTAAGGATCCTGGTGTACCACATACTGTGCAAAACCCTGACAGGGACTACTGTTCGGTCCGAGTATACATTAGGTATCGATGTGGGATTAAACATTTCTTTGTTTCCAGCCCTACTTCTAAAGATTTCGGGGACTGTTGAAACCGAGACCTAGCATAGTATAATGAGGGCATGGACCCTTAGGGCAATCCATCTACAGACCCGCGATCTCCCCCGTTGTAGCAGGTGACGGATATCGTGGAGGGCAGCTCCGCCTTCAATGACGGCAGCATCCGACACTTGGCTGGGTTTAGGGTTTAGGGTGGTTTAGGGTTTATAAGTTTTAGGTGCTGTAGGGTTTAATGTAGGGCTGTATCTGTTCTGACTTGTGATAGCTTGCCATGGTGGGGGGTTCCGCAATTGTGCATGTAGCTGCTTCGTGGTGTTCTATTTTACGGTTTAAGCCTGTGGCATTTGTATCCCACGCAACCTGAAAACTCCCAGCCCCAAACCGTCTCTGACGGAGGAGGGTAGGCAACGGTTCAACGACTCTGCTGCAGCACCAGGTGAAGCCGCAAAGAGGCCTTGTAGAGGTTACGTGAGGGTTTCCGAAAATAGGGGACCCTGATATAGTACCCTAACTAGTAGGATCCTTACTATAGGGACCCCAAAATAAGGTACCCCTGTTTTCGGAAACTCCCACATGGTCGAAAGCATCCTCCCAGACCCCAGATCCAAGCCCGTTAAACCTAAGTGGTACTTGGAAGATAGTGTTTATGTCTTGGTGACCAGAATCCCTAAGAAACAGCGAAGATTTCAATTCTGCAAGGGCACCGAAGTCAGTATAAAAACTTCAATTTCCCGACAACCAAGCCCTGTAACCTCAGAGCCCGAGGTAAGGGTGATTTCCTTCGTGCCGTGACTACCCCGCAGCGGAAACTTAGCGGAGAAGAAGGTGAAGAAGGACCCGGCGATCGATCAACGGTGTCTAACCAGTGGTTTTGGGGGTTCTCTTGGCTCTTTAGCTCCATATATAATAGGAATGCTCATGATCCAGGGCTCCTTAGCTCCCCCAATATCAATGGTTAGGTGTTTTAGAGTCGAAGGCTTTGGGGTTTAAGAGAGACCTCGTTCAAAAAGGCTTTGGGGTGAAGTTGCTAGGGCTGCTTGCTCCAACTCGGGGCGAAGTTGGAAAGCCTGTAGCAAAAAAAGGCTTTATGGGTTTGGTGTTTAGGGTGTAGCCTTTGGGTTTCTTAGTGTCTTGGGTTTGTGCGGGTGGGGGGTTTAGGGTTGACAGGCTTTTTGTAGAGGGTTCCAGTGGTTTAGGCAATAGGGACCATGTAAGTTGCCTTACTCATTGCCGGTCGAAGTCCAACAAGAGCGAGAGGTCTGGGTTGGGCTTTGTGCGGCAACGGGTGCAGGCTTAGGATGACGTCCTCAACCCTGAGATCAAAAGCACCTGACCTGAACCCTGGGCCACTAAAACCCTGCACTCTGATTACGTTCAGCGTCAATAGGCTGACCTGGCCGTTCCAGCACTAACTACAAGCGACTCATTCCAAAGATATCCCTCTAGAAGGATTGTATGAAGGATTTATCATGTCTCTACAAGGGTTTTGGAAGGGTCTTACGTGCAAATGACGCCATTAAGCCCCCTCGTTGTAGCGCCGATTTAAGGCCCCTGCAAAACAAAAAGCACAATACATGAGTATTAAGATCTTCTCATATGGGAGTCTTACCTTAAAGCATATATGTTCTGTTCGTTTTTGGACTGTTACCTTTGTCAGTTTGTCACACTTGTGAGTGATCAGTAACCTCGATGTAATTCCAAGTCTCCAAATCTTCCCTTTCACTAGACCTCCACCCGGATTGTAGTTTAACCTTGCTTAAGACTTGCATAATGTAGGTGCCTTAATAAAAAAAAGAATAGGCTTCTGGGGCCCAATACCATAATTACAACAAGGACCCCCAAAAAGAAAGATCGTATAGGCAATTATTTAGGCCCCTACAGCCACATTCTTGCTCTGGGCTGCCAAATATCTCGGTTATCTTTAAAGGCCCAAGGGTTCCAATCAGCTTCAATCTATATGTGTCAGGAAAAGAGGTTCAGTTGTTTAGGGCTTAGGGTTGAGAGGTGCTTGAGGCGGGCATGGTCCACATTTGCCCGACCTGGTGCTATGAGTACTCTTTCGCTGCCTGTTTCAGGGCTTCTTTTCGATTCGGAACCCCTCGGCCTAAGATAATGCCCTAATGTTGCCAGGAGACATCACTGAGACCTTCGGTGTGAATGCCGGCCAGCAAACCAAGGCCGGAAATCAGCTTGTACACCTTGAGGGTTTCGGTCTTGAGGCACCGCAGACAAGGAACCGACACCTTTCCTAGAAACCCCAACCTTATCCCCCTGCAGAGCTTGAGCCCCGAACCACTTGTCACATCAAAAGTATCACCCTAAATCCTGTAGATCAACCCTAAATAAGCCTAAAGCCCTAAACCCTTCATTCCAAAGCCATATGGGTGGTTGTCAAAAATATGGTCCCTTTTTGGGGTCCCTAATAGAATACGGCACCTACTATTTACGGTGTCCAAAAAGGGACCCTAATTTTTCACAACCACCCATACCCAGACCTTCCAAAATCCCTTAATTAAGGAAAATATCTCAAATTATAGTAGGATCCCAATTATGATTTAAGGTATATTCCTTAATTAAGGGATTTTGGAAGGTCTGGGTACAAAACCTATCAGCCCTAATCTTCGGGCTTTTTTCGGCCGTCGGCTGTTCCCCGAGCAGGCTGTCCTCGTGATCCCCAGGAACTTCCCCTTCCAAAAGGCTGGGAGGGACTGTTTGCCAGGAGTTATACAAAAAGGGTTAAGAGTTTGGGTTTGTCATAGGGCTTATATAGGACTTCTATACATACACACCTTCAGGGTTCCAAAAGGCTCTGGTTTGTCATAGGGCTTATATAGGGCTTCTATACATTCACACATTCAGGGTTTAGGGTTGGAGCGACTGTTTGCCTGGAGACTGGGTTCGTGGGGCTGCTATACATAAAAACAGATAGCAAATCAAAAGTACAAAAGTCTTTAGACCTATGTGTGTGTATTATATAATGTATATATATACAGAGATGCATGCACATACATACATAAATGAATACATATACGATATGTACACACTGGTGCCATTGAGGGCTTTGGGCTTCAGAGTTTCGCATAAGGTTTGGGGGCCCAAGCAGGATCATCTCTGGACCAAGATCCTCCCCTGTGGATCTCCAAAAAAGCAAGCAGTTTAAGGTCTACAGGGTTTAGTAGAAGACTACCATCAACAACTTACATAGGGCAGCTCTTGCGAGCGAAGCCGGGCTTGAAGATATTTGATATGCTGGTCTATGCTTCGAAGCTTCCCGGAGAGCTTTAGATTTGCAGGCAGATCCCTATGTAAAGCCTTATAGACGAGACAGCCTCGGCGTCAACACCCTGGCCGAGCTCCACTGCGCGTCATAAGTCAGGATTACAAGGGTTTTGGGTTCTGGTGTTCAGGGCTTCAGGAGCTTTGGGGGTTGGGCGGCCTGGGGTTTTCAGGGTTTAGAGTTTAGGTTGAGGCTTAATGGTTCTGTTTGGAAATCTCATCTGTCTTCGCAGGTGTTGGAAGAGATCTCAGAGAATCAAAGGTTGGACAGCCGGTCGCTTACAACTTCCTCGAGCTCGCCAAAACCTCAAGTATCCAGGAAGGGCTGGTTCTAGGGCTTACGTTTAGGATTTAGGTTTATCCGAGAGAGCCTAAGTGCGGTGACGTCGAGCAGTGCAGAGCACCCCCATGCACATATTCTTTCTTGGGGTTCTGGAATCACGGGAAAAAGGTTTACAGGGTTTACGAACTCGGTGGTTTTTGGTTAAGTTTCAATCGAGGCAGGGCAGGGACGGTGGCGTTGACATTTATGTCAGGGTGCTGGTGGGGGCCATGTAATGGTGGCAATCACAGCCGTTCCAGCAACATGTGCGTCAGTCCTCACGAGGGTTAAGCCCCAAATCGATACTGAATCGAACTGCGACTCGGGAACACAGCTGATTGCCGCAAGGGTTGCCATCATCGTCATCATCGTCGCGACCATAAATCATCATCCTCGTCATCGCCATCGGGATCTAGATGAACATGGAAACTGTCACGACTGGCTACTGTTAAACATCGTCTTCCTCTTCGATGAAGTTGTGATTTTGTCTTCATTAGCATCATCATCATCATCATCATCACCGTCGTCTTCGTCAACAAAACTTGCAACTCACACCGAGGCCTGGCAGGCTTGGCCTTCGAAAGGCCCTTCAATGATGAGTGAAGCATACGTTGCACTCATACCATCCGCAGTTCAGACTGTTCTAGGGTCTGTATAGTTTTCTGCGGGCTTCAGGGTTTATGGGGGACGGGTATAACTCGAGTGGGTTGTCCGTAATTAATCGTTGGTTGCGGTTTCCTAGACGTCTACTTCAGGAGGTCGAAGAAGTAGAAAAGCCCCTGGCGGAGGGAAGTGAATCTCTTGAATTTTAAAGATTGGCCCGGCGACGTATCTGCTGGACGGCCCAGACATCTCCGTTTGAATGCAGGCTGGTTGTCGGCTCTCTAATGCAGAAGCTGCTACGGGTTCGTGTTGTAATTCTGGCAGACACACCCCCTCCAAAACACTCTTCTAGTTATTCGTGCCCCTATATATATATATATATATATATATATATATATACATGTATACATATATATATATACATGTATATACATATATATGTATATATATATATATATATATATATATATATCCACACATTACTACTTGGGGGGACCCGCGTCGATGGGAGATTACAAGCTTGAGGACCCATCATACCTGATAGTCCCTTAGCAGTCATTTTCCTGTTACACGAAACCTAGGGGCTACTTGGAGAGTTGTCTTTGTCAATTGGCTTAAATTTTTACAGATAGATACAGTGAAGAGCTGACTGACCCCAAAATGCAGAGCCCCGCATAGTCAGTGTCCTCCGGGTTTTTGGGGTCCGGGCTTCCTCCCCTAGTGTCCAAGCGCTGAGAAAGTTTCCTACGGAGCTGCTCTGTGCTGGCCTGGGGCCTTGGACGAACCTAAGGGTCCAAGTAGCTCTTCAGCAGCGACTCGAGACAGTAACGTCTCAAGTGCAACTCCAACTTATCCTGACCTAGACACCCGGGAAGATATATAAATTAGATCCTCTTAATTTGGGGCCTTCTACCACTAAGGGTCCGAGAAGGAACCCCCATTAATGGATCTACTTTTTGGATCCTCCCGGGGGTCTGGGGAAGGTACTCCGTTGACCCCGCAAAGACCATCGCCCGCAGCTTCAAACCTACTCTTGGACCCTCAGGATACTCCTGAAGTCTCAGTAACCGCATGCGTTCCTGTTTCTTGCGCAGGACAGGCCGTTGGAAAGCCGAACCGAAAGCTAAATGCTGGGAATTTGTAGCACTTTGTCGGAGGAGGGTTAACACCGGGCTTAGTCATATTTTGAAGGGTCTAAAGCTCATGCTGGAAACCCCACGCCCTCAAGCCCTCTTGCGATTAACAACAGGTTCCCAAGCCAAGCTTTATGCGAAGATGTCCGAGTTGTAGGAGTGCTTTCCGGGATCTTGGGACAAGTTGGACCAGTGACTCTTTGGGGTTCACTGTCTTGTAAAGTTTGGAATCCAGGATTTCGGGTAGAGGACACCCAAGCAAACCGAAAACTGCTTTGCAGCCCGAAACCTGTCATTGTTGCCCTGACTGAAGGCCTTGTACCCGAACCCCCTAAATTAGGGTTTAGGGTTATCATGAACCTTATCGAAAGACGCTAGAGCATCCAAAACTCTTCATGCACAAAAGTAAGCCCCGGGACAATCCCTGCTCAATCCTTGACAATGAACCCTGCATGAACCCTACGCCCCCGCTGGGCTGCTTTGGGCTTCGCGGATCTTGAAAGAGGGAAGTCCTAGAATTAGTAATTCATTTTGCTTCCCTTCTTGGCGTTTTTCGAAGGCCTTTGATTCAGTGATATCCTCTGCAGTGCAGTTCGTTTTTGTAATGAACGCAGTAGCAGAATGACTACACCTTACATGCTTTGGGATAATACCAGCCCATATAGATCGGAAAGGTTGAGCTCAGGAACTGAGTTTAGTTTATCCAGTTTTACTTATAGGGCCCCAACAGGTTACCCCGAAAGGGAACTGTAATGGAGACTACAGGTGAGGCGCGAGCCTCAAGAACAGGAACACCCAAGTAACGTAGAAGTTTGAATAATCACCAATACGTACTATTCCTCGCGCTCCTCAGGGTTCCTCATGATTATAAGCATTCTAGAATAATGCCCGGAACCCAAGTCTAGTCATCCAGGCTATTTTAGTTTGTGTCGAAGCCTGGCACGGCCTTCCTGCTCCCTGACGGTCAGTCACAGCAATACGCAGGGTTCTGCGAAAGAGAGATGTGTGAAGTTGAGAAACCAGGGAACCACAATACTAGCAGGACATTTATGATTTGAAGAGGGTCTTCGGGCATTATGGTATATTGTGGCTACAACAGGGTGCAATTTGCAATTATGCCGAGCGCTTTGTGACAGACCCTGTGCACTTTATAGTCAAAGTATACATTGTATAGGTAAGTGGATCCTCAGGGTTAGTCGGGTTTTATGGAATCGGGTTCAGGGCGAGTAACACTATGCTGATTAATTACAAGGACCCTTGAGTAAGGAATTCCGAATTTTAAGTGCCGCCAGATGCGTTTCAGAACCAATACCCCATAAGGCTCGTTCCTTTTGCTCGCTCTTCGTTCTGCCTGTAGCTGAGAGATAGATACTGCAGACCCCTGATCAATAACCCCCCTGCTTTCAAAAGGGATTGGTATCGGGAAGATAGTCGGAGCGCACTGGTGGTTTCAACGCTTGCTTTCGTCGCTATTGGAAGCAAGGTTGGAGTCGGGTTTTCTGGTCAGATTGTTGATGGTGCTCCGGGGGAATATTGGGAGTGTCAGTCCTGTTTCGGGGTCTCATTCATGGAAACCCTACCTCATATACCGTCATACATGCCCAGCCAAATTCATACTGTTTCTCTGAGGTCATAAGAGCGGTTCAGTAGCCGTGCGGAGCATGATGCCGTCCCCATTTCTGAGAATTTGCTGGAGGGAAATGAAGAGCCGCTTAACCATCATGGGCAATTTCATGTTACTTCACATGGGAGTTTCTACCCAGATATAGTACCCTGAATACTGGGATCCTTATTATAAGGACCCCAAAATAAGGTACCCCTAATTTTGGGAAAACTCCCACATGCAGCCGGCAATCAACTCCTTGCCTTGCAGCATCCTGACCTGCCTGCAGCGATGCTTCGGTTGTTTTCAGGTTGGTGCGCTTGAGAATAGCTAGTATTCTTGACGGAACAAGGCCGGTGCCCTCCAGTTTTAGGGTGGCTGTTGGTGAACGGTTTGGGATTTCGAAGACCAACATTTAAAATGCCTGCATGTTCGAGCTCTTTGGCCCAAGATGATGCTTCCAAGCATACCGGAAACAAGGCTAAATGCGCTGTCGTCGAAGATGAACGGCGCGTTCCAGGGCTGCACGGGAAGTGGTGGATTTTGGCTTACATATTTTCAGGGCAAGGACCCCGAACAACCACCCCAACCCCCCGTTTGGATGCGTCCTGAACTGCAGCTACCGCTTGGAGTAGAGACGACCCAGTAACATTAAAGGTTGGTATACATCTCGAAGCCATTCGTGTTGAGCCCGCCCCTGTGTCTTTGAGTACTGTAGCAGAAGACCATAATGTTGCCGGGTTGGGAAGGGGTCCTGGGTTTGGGGTCAAAGGCTTTCAGGACTTTGTGTTTTGGTTGCTCAGTATGCTTCTAGTCTCGGCTGTAGTTCCGTTTGGGCTGTTAACTTATAGGACCCTTAATCCAAATTACAAGCTTGGTTAAAGCAAACAAGAAGCGACAATAGAGACATCCCCAGGTAGGGTGCAGGATTCAAGCGTCCGTTGCGGCATAACCTACTTTTTTGCTATACGTTTCCTAACCCTGAAATCCTAAACTCCTAAAACCTAAAGCCCTAAACCCGAAACCTCAATGGAGACTATAAGTGTTGACGTGGGGAGATCCAGGAGGCCGGGCTTGAAGAGCCCTATCCCAGAGACTCTAATATCACTTAATTATAGTAGGAATATACTTCAAATCATATAAGGGATCCTACCATAATTTAAGGAATATTCCTTAATTAAGGGATATTGGAGTCTCTGGGAACAAGATACTCCACCGAAACTGGTTTTCTTACCTTTGGTTACTAGGGAATGGAGGAATGGGGTACAATTATAACTACTATTACTGCCATTCTTCCATTCCCACTAACCAAGGGTAAGTTTTGGGGGTTTAGGGTAAGATGTGTGAGAGAGAGGGTATAGTACGTGTTGAGGGTTCCTTTATAGTGCCTTAAGAGGCGGGTCTTTTCGACTGCGGGTAGGGCTTGGGTCCTAAGCCCTCAACTCCATCCTACGCTTCGCGGCTGTCCAGGTCCACCTCAAACTTAGCGTTTGCACGGGGTGTACAACTGCCTTTTGTATGCACACGCCCCACTAAGAACCCAAATCCCTAGGCAGGGAAGTCGTTCAGCAAGACGGATTGCAACAACAAATCCTTAATCAATCCTTTAGCAGATACGGGCCCCCAAACCCTGAACCTTCAAAGCCCTAAACCCTGCCTAAAACCGTTAGAAGAAACATGAAGAAACGCGAATGCAAGGGGTGGCCATTCTCCTGAAAGTGGAAGTCCAGGTTCCGTGGGGGTTCCGTACCTTGAGGGGGTTTAGGGGTTTAGGGCCTGAGAGCCCATATACTTGCACGGTAAGTTATATGTGTAGTTGTCAAAATTATGCCCCCCTTTTGGGTACCCTATATATTAGGTGCCGTATGATATTAAGGACCCAAAACGGGACTATAATTTTGACAGCCACCCATATATGGGGTTATGAGTCAGAGTGCAGTATAAGGTTTGTAAATTGCATATGGGCGACGGGGCTTCTAGGGGGGGGCGGGTTCGATGTTAGGGGGCGCCTTTGTTTCAAGAAGCTCTCGTGCTCCTTTGTGAATATGTGGAAAGGACAGATCCTCTTGATAGTTTGGTGCGGTTCTTTGTTGATATGAGGTCGAATCTCGTCTTGCACGAGAAAGCTTGAGAATAGCTTTGAGCCACGCCCCCAAGTCTCACAGAATTCGGTTAAGTTTTGTTGAGAGAGGAATTAGTAGAAAACAAGCCTACCTTTTGGAAATCTGAATCCCTGAGCCTTTTGCATAAGATACCTCCAAGAT